GGAAAAAAAAAAAAAAAAAAAAAAAAAAAAAAAAAAATAGAATAGCTGTCACAAACGAAAATATTAAACATGGTCATAAGTATTGAACTTTTTGTTTCATCATCATGTTTTGTTTGGGTAACAAAATTGTTTTGAAGCATCAGTCCTTTGCATTGATGTACTTATTTGTTTTTAATATGTTGTTTGTGTTGGTAGTTCTTTACAAAACTGAAGGGGTGGGAGAGTAATTTTGAACAAGCTTGGCCTTGAAAGCTGCTTTTCTGGTTACTAAAATGTGGTGTCTGGGAGGACCTTTCCTCTTAGAGTTTCTTCAGACTCATTCTACAAGTAGCAAAATACATATGATAAAGGTTACCAAAAGTTCTTTTGGAAGTCTTTTGTAATTATTTGGATCACTTTGAAAGCCAGTGTGCATGCTTGCAGACTGTGCAAAATGTGTGATAATTTTTTTAGCATTTACTATGTTATTGGACAAATTGTCCTATAAAGGTTCCTTTTTCTAATTTCCACCACTAATAGTTCTTGTTAGTTTTTGTAGAGCTTACAAGCCAAGACTTGCTTGAGAGGGGTATCCTTTACTGAATGAAATGGAGTTAGATGTTTCTTTCTCTCTTAATGTTTTACATAGAAAGCTTTTGTAATGATTGAGTACTTTTAGGTCTGGCTGTATAAAGACATACGTTGTATATACACACACCTCGTGTTAACTCTACTGCGTATAATTTTTCCAGGACCTCTGGAATTTACTTTTTGTCTTGCTAACCTAAGAGGACTGATTTTGTCTTAGGCAGTTGTCTACTTTATTCATATTATCAAACATAATAAATTTATGAATTTATTACCCTTATTTTTCCTCTAATTAGGAAAGCAATGCAAAAAGATTAAAAGGTTTAATCAAATTAAATGTCCTTAGATTAATACTTCTAACACTTCAATATATACACAGCACCTATTTAATTAAAGAATGTAATCCTATTCTATATGCTGTTTGATAGTTTGCGATAGCTTGCTTTACTTACATCAGGGACCTCTTTCTACATTTACCTGTATAACTGTTTAAATGGCAACATACTATTCCCTTTATGGGCATACTAGAATCGTCTCCTAAGTTAGATATTTTGCCCCCCCCCCCCCCCCCGCTTCTGTTAACCATTGTCTCTACATAAAAGTTTGGATAATTATCAGATTATTTTCATTGAAAAAAAGCCTAGAAGTAGAATTCCTGGGTCAAAGAGTGTGCACCAATTAAAATTTGGATACTATAGGAAGGTTAAAATCAACACATGCTCACCAAAACTGAAAGAGGACACCTGACTGTTCCATCTTAACTATCAGGTGTCAATATCTTTAATCTTTATCAAAGCCTAGAGGTGGAAAATAACTTGTTTTAATTCGTATTATCTTCATATTCAGTCATTTTATATCTAATTAGATGTAGGGGCTCATCAGAGGTTTGCAGAAGTGTAAAATTTCCATTTTGGGGCCGGCCCGGTGGCGCATAGAGTGCAGCGCTTGGGAGTGCAGTGGCGCTCCCGCCGAGGGTTCGGATCCCATATAGAGACCGGTCTGCTCACTGGTTGAGCGTGGTGCGGGCATGACACCGAGGGTTGCGATCCCGTTACCGGTCACGAAAAAAGACAAAAAGGGGGAAAAAAAAAAAAATTCCATTTTTAAAAAGTGTTTTGGGGCTGAGCCCGTGGCGCACTCGGGAGAGTGCAGCGCTGGGAGCGCAGCAGCGCTTCCGCTGCAGGTTCGGATCCTATATAGGGATGGCCGGTGCGCTCACTGGCTGAGCACTGTGCAGCCGGTCACAAAAAAAAAAAAAGTGTTTTGAAGTTGTCTTCTACTATTTTGGAAATAATTCAGCTATATCACTTGAATTTTAGTTTATTAATTTCCAGTGCTTATTTTTATTTAGATATACAATCTTAGTAATTTTCTTTTTAAGATTTTCAAAAAGCTTTAGTCATTTCAAACTCCTTATGAAGCAAGGTAGATTATGAAAAAGCAAATAGAAACTTAGTGGGCCAACATTGGGATTTGCCAGTAACATACCTTGCTTTGATAGTTTTATGTTTACTTATAGATTTGGCATCACCATTAGGGGAGGGGTGGTAGAGAAGGGAGGTTACATAAGTCATTTGACTTCTCATTAGAGCAGTTCTTTGAGGTTGCAATTTGGGGTACTTAAAAAAAAACAAAACAAAACCAGTGCAAAATTTTACTTGTTTACCATTAAATTATTTTTAGATGTTTACTTTGGATAATTGAATAGGCAAAGTTGTGTTCCTGGAAAATTTAGGTCATCATTCTAAGTAATTTTGTAGTCTTTGAATTGATCTATGTATTAGTAGGTTCAAGGCCTATTATGCGTATGTGGAGTGTTGTAGAGTAGGAGCTTGAGGAAATGACACATACTTTATTCCTAAATCAGCATAAGAGAGGAATCTGTGGTGGGAAAACATGTAGTGTGTTGTCAGGCCAGTTCATAACTATAATTATTTGTGCTCTATATAGCAACAGGAGCTTAGCAAGAGGTTTGTCATCTTTATCATCAAGAGAGTAGAACTGTATGAAAAATAATTAAAATGATAGGCAAATGAGCTGCAAGTGGTGAGTAGTTAGGTTTGGAAGATACATGCCTGTACCCTTGATAATTGTATAAACTTTGAATGACATCTCTGAATAACAACTCTTCTCTTTGATAGACTTCATGGGAGACTGTTGGGGGGAAGAAGAAGAACTTTGTAAAAGAAAGTTCAGAAAACAAAGAGAATAAAGAGAAGAGAAGTGAGAGAGAAGCAAGTCATGGACGTGGAAACAACAACCGGAAAGGAAGAGGTGGCAATCGTTCCAGAGAGTGTAAGTACAGACCTTTTTCCTTAACTTTCTTATGAATTTTCATACATTCTGAAAAACTGAAAAACCAGTCCAAAGAATGCCTATAAATCCACTGCCCAATGCAAAATTTGTTCTAATAATTAACTCTAATAATGAGCTGCAACTGAGTAGTTCAGTAGAGCCTCTGATACGATTTCATATCAGCACTGACCTGGGCTGTAGGTAGGTAGTTGTGTTGTGAGTTTTAATACTTCCTTGTGTTATGAATCAAATGCATTTTCTAATTTTAAAGATGTGTGTGTGTGGGTGGGTGGGTGTCACTCACTGATAGATGAATCTGTTTTTTCTTCCCATTTACGGATACTCATGGTACAGGAGCAAGGGTTAGATTGAGAGAAAAGGTGTTGAATAGGCAAGATTTTCTCAGTACTTTTTGGGTGGGTGGGGGCAGCTGGCTGGTATGGGGATCTGAACCTGTGACCTTGGTGTTACTAGCACTGTGCTCTTCCACATGAGCTAACTGGCCTCAATATTTTTTATTTGACCCAGGTTTTGGCACCATTTACCCAAAACAGCCATGCCTGCTGTGAAGGTGTACCAAAGTAGCTAAGTTTTGTATGCATAAAAAGTAAATATATAGAGACTTTTGCAGCTTGTTTATTCTACTTCTACTGCTATTTATTGAGTACCTACTTTGTAGTGTGAACTCTTGTTGGTATACAGGAATGTATAAAACATACAAAAAAGTCTTTACCCTCCTAAAACCTATCTTTTAATGAAGGTGACTAGGATATAACAATAAAAAAGAAATAAAATATTTTATATTAATAATAATTTAACAGTGTTATGTAGAAACTGTGCTATGAGGAAAAACAAAGGCAGAAAGAGAGATGAGGATTATGGGAAGGGGGATGGCAAATTTAAATGGATTGCCAAGAAAGGTCTCACTAGGAACTTATCATGTGAGTTAAGCCCTGAAAGAGGTGAGGGGAGCAAGCCATGTCAATCTCTCTCATAAAACTTTTGTATTATATAGAGTCATTGTCAATATAGGGATCAAGAAAAGACTGTGTGTTGACATTTTCTGAACAGTATCTTAGGGAAACCTGTCTCTAATCCTTTAATTTTTCCAAGGACTCAATATCTCTTTGGTATTGCTATTTTGCTATTCTGTGCCTTTCCAGGCTTTAAACTTAACTAATGAGCAAATTTTGTGGTATACTACATAGTTGCATAAAGAATATGGTTCTTTGAAGCAAACACTTTAGGAGAGGGCAAGTTCAAATAGAAAAAAGAAAAATCTGGGCCGGCCCGGTGGCGCACTGCTACAGTGCGCCGCTTGGGAAGCGCGGCGGCGCTCCCGCCGAGGGTTCGGATCCCACATACAGACCAGCCGCTCACTGGCTGAGTGAGGTGCGGGAGCAACACCGAGGGTTGTGATCCCGTAGCCGGTCCCGGTCTGGTACGGGCGCGACACTGAGGGTTGCAATCCGTTGCTGGTCACGAAAAAAGACAAAAAAAAAAAAGAAAAAGAAAAAGAAAAATCTGTATGTTATTTTAATTTTCAGAATTTTTACATAGAATTAAGCAAGATGTGCTATCATTCAGTTTTTAAACTACTTTTATTTGTTTTTATTTTTCTTGTTTTCTGAAACTTTTGTTTAAATTTTAGCCTGCTTTTAGTCTTTTTGTTATTTTGTCCTTGCCTTTAATAGGTTTCTGAGGGGCTGGCCGGTTATCTCAGTTGGTTGGAGCATGGTGCTGCTAACATGGTCCAGGGTTCAATCCCTGTACTGGCCAGTCATTACAATAAATAAATGAATGAGTGAATGAAAGGCGCCTGGTAAGGTTATGGGCAAGAGGTTTGGAATGAAAAGAGATTTTTATGCTCTTTTTTCCCTTAGTTAGAGGCGAAGAGAATGGAATTGATTGCAATCAAGGGGACAAACCTTCGGACCGGGGCAAGCGAGCCCGTGGTAGAGGTGAGCCAGAATAAGAGGGATAGAAATGCTTGCGATCAGAGGAAGAAGGTCAGGCTGTTGCTTTACTGGGCTCTGTCTAGGGATAGCATTGTACTGTGAAAGAATGGTTGGTCTTCTAAAGTCTTATGATTCTGGGCCGGCCGGGTGGCGCACTGCTACAGTGCGCCGCTTGGGAGCACAGCGGCGCTCCCGCCAAGGGTTCGGATCCCACATACAGACCGGCCGCTCACTGGCTGAGCGAGGTGCGGGAGCAACACCGAGGGTTGCGATCCCGTTGCCCCGTTGCCGGTCCCGGTCTGGTGCGGGCGCGACACTGAGGGTTGCGATCCGTTGCCAGTCACGAAAAAAGACAAAAAGGAAAAAAAAAATTATTTTTAATTTACAAATCATAATTGCATTGCACTTATGGAATACGGTGTGATGTTCTTATATGTATACAATGTGCAGCGATTAAATCAAGTTAACATACATATCTATCACCTCTTTTAACATTTTTTGTCGTGATTTATTTGAAGTTTACTCTTTTTCTTTCCCCCTCTCCCTCCCTCCCTCCTTCTCTCTCTCTCTTTCTTTCAACACTAGTCAAGTACAGTAGTGAGAAAAAGGGGAAGAGTAGAACAAGAAGTTTGATCTGTAACTGACTTTGAACAATCAGTGGAGATAACTCACTACCTTCGGACCAGCCTCTCTCAGTTATTTTGAACTGCAGTTGTCTCTTGGTATCTGTGGGGGATTGGTTCCAGGACCCCTCTGTATACCACAATCCACGTACGTTCAAGTTCCCCAGTTGGCCCTGCTAACCTGCATATACAAGAAGTTCACACTCTGTAGATGCAGGTTCTGCGTCCCTCGAATATTGTATTTTCAATACACCATTGGTTAAATCTGAGGATGTAGAACCCATGTGTAATGGGATCTGTGCAGCTCAAACTCATGTGTTATTGAGTAGTTAGTTGTATACATTATTGACTGTAGTTACATTGCTGTGCAACAGATCTCAAAACTTATTCTTTCTGTCTAGCTGAAACATTGTACCCTTTGACCAGCAAGTACCCATCTCCCCACCCTCACCCTGGCCTGTGGTGACCATCATTCTACTGTACTCATGAACTCAACTTTTAAAAATTTTATTTCATTTTATTGTTTGTTCAGCCATGTTTTATCTCTGTATCAGTTTATTTTAGATTTCACATATGAATGAGATCATGCAGTATTTGGCTTTCTGTGACTGGCTTATTTCACTTAATATAATGTCCTCTAGATTCATCCATGTTGTCCCAAATGACTGAATTTCATTCTTTTGAAAGGCTGAATAGTATTGAATTCTGTATATATACCACATTTTCTTTATCCGTTCATCTGTTGATGGACACTTTGGTTGATCCCATATCTTGGCTATTGTGAATAGTGCTGCAGTGAACATAAGAATGCAGACATCCCTTTGACATACTGATTTCAATTACTTTGGATATATTCCTAGAAGTAGGATTGCTGGATCAGAGATAGTTCACTTTTAGTTTTTTGAGGAAACTCCATACTGTTTTCCATAACAGCTGTACTGATTTATGATCTCACCAACAGAGTTCCCTTTTCTCCACGTTCTTGCCAACACTTGTCTTTCATCTTTTTGGTAAAAGCCATTGTAACAGATGTGCAGTAATAATCTCATTGTAGTTTTAATTTGCATTCCGCTAATGAGTAGTGATGCTGAGCCTTTTTTCATGAACCTGTTGTCCGTTTGCATATCTTCTTTTCAGAAGTGTCTGTTCAAATGTTTTGCCCATTTTAAAATCAGGTTATTTGTTTTCTTGCTATTGAGTTGAGTTCCTTGTGTATTTTGGATATTAACTCCTTATCAGATGTATAGCTTGTAAATATTTTTCCTTCTATGTGGGTTGTCTCTTATGTTAATTGTTTCTTTTGTTGTGCAGAAGCTTTTTAGTTTGTTGTAGTCCCGTTTGTCTTTTTTTGCTTTTGTTGCCTGAGTTTCCAAAGAAAACCGCATATCCAAAGAATCCTTGCCCAGACCAATGTCATGGAGCTTTTTCCTTATGTTTTCTTTTAGCAGTTTTATAGTTCTAGGTCTTACATTTAAGTCTTTAATCCATTTTGAGTTGGTTTTGTTCATGGTGTAAGATAAGGGTCTAATTTCATTATTCTGCATGTAGACAACCAGTTTTTTCAGCTCAATTTATTAGATAGACTCTATTTCCCCATTGTGTGTCTTGACACTATTGCCAAAAATCAGTTGACCATAAATGTGTTGGTTCATTTCTGGGCGTTCTATCCTGTTGCACTGGTTGATGAATCTCTTTTTATGCAGTTATCATGCTGTTTTGATTACAGTTGATTTATAATGTATTTTGAAGTCAGATAGTATGATGTCTCTAGCTTTGTTGTTTTTGCTCAAGATCATTTTGGCTCTTTGCTATCTTTTGTGGTTGCATACAAGTTGAAAAACTGTTTTTTCTATTTCTGTGGAAAATGACACTGTAATTTTGGTAAGGATTGCATTGAATCTGTAGATCATGTTTAGTAATATGAACATTTTAATAACATTAATTCTTCCAGTTCATGAACGTGGGCTATCTTTACATTTATTTGCATCTTCTTCAGTTCTTTCATCAGAGTTTTTTTTTTTTGTCTTTTTTTTGTCTTTTTTCAGTGTCCGGCAACGGATCGCAACCCTCAGTGTTGCCCCCGTACCGGACCGGGGACCGGCACCAGGATTGCAACCCTCGGTGTTGCTCCCGTGCCTCGCTCAGCCAGTGAGCGGGAACCGGTCTGTATGTGGGATCCGAACCCTCGGGCGGGAGCGCCGCCATGCTCCCAAGCGGCGCACTATCCAGTGTGCCACCGGGCCGGCTCTTTCATCAGAGTTTTATACTTTTAGGTATACAAGCCTTTTACCTCCTTACTTATATTTACACCTAATTATTTTATTTTGTTGTTGTAAATGGGATTGGTTTTTGTTGTTGTTGTTTTGTTTTTTAAAAAGATGACCAATAAGGGGATCTTAACCCTTGACTTGGTGTTGTCAGCACCATGCTCACCCAGTGAGCCAACCGGCCATCCCTATACGGGATCCAAACCCATGGCCTTGGTGTTATCAGCACCACACTCTCCCTAGTGAGCCACGGGCCGGCCCCAAAACAGGATTGTTTTTTGACATATGTTAAGAATTTCATAATCTCTGTATTACTTTAAAAATCATGCATACCATAATATGGAGGAATATTTTTATAGCATGAGAAGTATGGACTGTAGCAAATTAAGTAAAAGAAAGTTCACTTTGTATGTCCAGTTTTTCTGTATCTTCTTCTGAATGTTTATGTTCAGAGCAAGAATGAGTGTGAGTGACTCTTGAAACATATACTTTTTCTATAACTTAAAGTTTGTGGAAAGGTAAGTTGTGAGAAAACAGCAGCCTCTTTGGAGGAGAGTAGCAGTTGTGCTGAGCTGTCTACAGTTTCTTAGCTTTTGCTTTTATAGAAACTAAGAGTGGAAGTTAGAGTAAAAACCTTTGGGACTTTGTACATATTGACCATTCAAAGGTACTCAGCCACGTAATATTCCATTTTGTGTGCAAAACGTGGAATTTGGCTGATTCAAGTGTTTTTGAATGATACAGACTTTATCCTGAGGTTAAATTGAAGACCCTGTTGGGCTGAGCCCCTGGTGCACTCGGGAGAGTGCGGCGCTGGGTGGTGCTCCCGCTGCAGGTTCGGATCCTATATAGGGATGGCCGGTGCAATGCGCTCACTGGCTGAGCGTGGTGCGGCCGGTCAGAAAAAGGACGGACGGACTGACTGACTGACTGACTGACTGACTGACTGACTGACTGACTGACTGACTGACTGACTGACTGACTGACTGACTGACTGACTGACTGACTGACTGACTGACTGACTGAATAAATAAATAAATAAATAAATAAATAAATAAATAAAATAATAATAATAAATAAATAAATTGAAGACCCTGTTAAAAATCCTGAGATTTGATATATTCTAGGTAAAATTTTTCATATACTACATTTAAAAAAAAAAAATTATTTTGTCGATATACAATGTGGTTGATTATTGTGGCCCATTACCAAAACCTCCCTCCCTCTCCCCGCTCCCAACCAACAATGTCCTTTCTGTTCGCTTGTCCTGTCAACTTCAAGGAACTGTAATTGTTACGTCTTCTTCTCCCCCCCCCCGGTTTTTTTTTTGTGTGTGTGTGTGTGTGTGTGTGTGTGTGTGTGTGTGTGTGTGTGTGTGTGTGTGTGTGTGAATTTATTTATTTATTTTTAGCTCCCACCAATAAGTGAGAACATATGGTATTTCTCTTTCTGTGCCTGACTCGTTTCACTTAATATAATTCTCTCAAGGTCTATCCATATTGTTGCAAATGGCAGTCATATACCACATATTAATTGGTAAAAACTAAGTATAATTCTGTGTTCCAGAAGCTGAAATTGTTTACTATTATGTATATGTAGGAACAGGTTTTTGTAAAGAAAATTTCAAACATACCATTGTCACAGTAAAGATGGAAAGTTGGAAAGGAAGACTGGTTGATGCATGTAAACTCCAGGTTTATTAGGTCTTAGACTCTGAAGCATACACCTTGGGAGAGAAAGAAAACAGAAGGTAACAAAAAGAATGGAACGACTTTATTGGCCACTAAACTTTATTCTGCCTCACTGGGCAGGTCAGTCACAGTGTAAGACCAGTGATGCATGCCTAATTAACCCTTATACCACCCTATTCTAATTAAAATATCATTGCTGTGAAGTTCCTTTGTTTTTAAGGTTTCAAGAATACATAAGAACCCAGAGTGTCTTATCAGGGAGAGGGTTTTTGGTCCTTGAGATGCTTCTGGCCTTGATGAACTTCTTAGGGAAATAGTCAAATCTTCATCACTGAATTCCCATTGCTGCACTATTGAATGCTTCAGTTTGGCCCTTTGATAGTAACACTGTAGTCATAGTACTTGGATTGGCTACTGAGGGA